GTGGCCAATCATCGCACCACGCGCGCCAACAACGCATCCCTCTACGAGGCAAATTTGTCTGCTACTCACCGCCACGCCCTGCTGACACCGCGGGAATCTGATATTCCCTGTACAGCTGGGCAACTACACACGAACCGTGTAGGAATCGCTTTCAGGGTCGGATTCGTTACAACGTAGTGGAATCAGTGTCTCTAGAAAAAGATTGCTGAAAGTTCAGAGTCATGTGCTAGGTGAAGGCTGAAAAATCAGCCCCACAAAAAGCTGAACACTGGAAAATCAGTGTAGGTTAAAAAAAAACCCTGGAAATCAGGAATTTCAGGGGAAAATTCATCATATCGTAGGGCCTGCTGAGAAGCCCTAGGATCTTTGTAGAGTTGAAGGACTGAGTAGGATTGTAATAGCGGAAGCGTTGTAATACAGAGTGGTTGAACCACCTTGCACTAGTATGTGAGAGCAAAGTAAGTTGTATTAAACAAGCAAATACAAGGTTTATATAAGAGTACAAGGAATACGAATAGATAGATTTAAACCGTTTTACTGTTGCGATTCGATACAGTGCGACTCGGGCAACTGCTCAATGTCGAGTCAGTTGTGTGTCCTTGCTGTCGCGCTGTATTGGTCAAGTCGAAGGTCGCTGACCTTTGACCTTCGCGTAACCTCCAGGCGGTTACCCCAACCTCCGAGGGTTGACTCGCGATGCTTCGATTTGGACTGCTTCGCTTTGAGTCCTGAGCTTCGACACGACAGAGGCGCCTTAAGACTTATTGTTCCCAACAGATTTTACAGCCCTCCCAACAGGCACTCAAGCCCTCCCAATGCACACTACCATTCGCATTTATGTTTCAATATTGGATGACGGTACACTGTGAACAATCAAGTGGTAACCCATACAAGCATGTAAGATCATTAACTATAACAACAGGATAGCTAAGCCCAGCTCAGCTCCCCAACTACAAATGGACCAGCCTTCCGTCCCTCCCTTCACTTTCTCTCCAGGAGCACAAGCCGCAGTGGCTTTGCCAGTGCCACAGTAAGACTAAACTCCTCTCTCAAGTCCACTCCACCAGACTTGATCACATCTTCGGGCAGCTTCAAGCTAAACCGATAAATAAAATTTGCCAGCATGCGAGCAGATAGATCCATGCCCAGGTTCATCCCCACACACCCACGCCTGCCCGAACCAAATGGCAGGACACTGAAATCCTGCCCGGTCACATCAGGGGCAGACGGGCCGAGAAACCTGCTGGGGTCAAATTCATCGGGGTTGGTCCAGACCGTTGGATCGTGAGCAAGACCCCAGCCGTTGATCTGAATGATTGTGTCTGGAGGGATGGTGTAACCGCCAAGAGCAACGCTGGCAGTTGTCACGTGAGGGATAAGGAGCGGTACTGGTGGGTGGTGCCTCAGAGTCTCTTTAATCACCGCCTGAAGATATGGCATCTCTTGTACTGCAAGCGACGCATTTTCAGCGCCCTGTTTCCCATTGGTTTCTCCTCCTGCTGCCGCTGCTGCTGCTGCAGCTGACTTGGCATGCGCCGCATCCACCTCAGCTTGGAGACGTTCCAGCACGGCCGGGTGGCGTGCCAGCTCAGCAAGGGCCCATTCCACGGTTTTAGCAGTGGTGTCAGTGCCAGCATTCATCATGTCCATACAAAGCAGCATAATATGTTTCCTGGTAACCCTATCCTCCCCTTCACCCTCCATCTCCAACAGAGCATCCACCATCGCTCTCTCACCACCATCCCCCCCTCCCGTCCCCGCAACCCCCGCTTTTCCATTTGTACCCATATTTTCTCGCTCCTCTTCCTCTCTCCGCTTTTTTAGCATCCGGCTTCTCTCCTCGATGCAGGAAAGCAGGAACCCATCAACATTCGGTTTAAGCCGCTTCGCGCGCCAGTAGATGCGCTGCGGGTCCAAAGGGCTGAGCCACGGAACGAAATCCGCCAAGTTAAATGTCCCCATCACCTGAAACGTCTCGTCGACAATCGCGATCACCTTCTCGCCTTCCATTTCGTCCTCCGCCGCAGATCGCGGCGAAATTTCCGCAGACTCCTTGGCCAGCCGTCCCTCCCAGTCCGTCTTGTAAGCCGCTTCGAGCATCTCGCCGGGCGCGGCGGCGGAGGCGCGACGGATCGTGCTGTAGGTATAATGCTTCCCGACAGTCAGCCGCAGAATGAGGTTCAGCGTCGCGCGGTTCAGATACCCTCGCAGTTCCACGCCTCTCGCGTCCCCGTTATTAGCCACCTCGGCAATCGCGTCGAGCATAGCGCGGATCTCCCGCTCGCGCACGGCTAGGCTCTGCTGTAAGGCCCGCGCCGTGAGGAGATGCAGCGTCGCCAGTCGTCGCTGCGTTCGCCAATGTTCGTCGGCCGGCGAAAAAACAATGTCCTTCCCTCCGTCGACCATGAATGCGAGAAGTTGTAAGAGCGGGCGTGAAGAGCAGATCTTATCCTGCGTTTTAAGCACCTCACGAGCCAGCTCCGGGGAGGATATAATCACAGACGGAAATGACCCGAGCCAGACGGTCAGGATTGGACCGAACCTGTCCGCCAACTTCGCGAGCGTGCGGTACGGCAGGACGCCCAGGTCCGGAAGGTTACCGAGGATGGGCCACGGGGAAGGGCCCGGAGGTAAGGAATAGCGACGACGGAGGAAAGTCAGCCATGTCGTCGAGATGTACAACGCGATTGCTGCGATTATCGCAGTGAAAAGCAACGGCATTTGATAATAATCACCAATAGCTACCCATGCTTCCGTCGCGGCAAGTGACTGAGAATTCATGTTTCCTACACCTGGATTTCTTCGCAGTCTGCCTTGCGGATTCACTAGGCGCTGTCCTTACTAGCTTCGACGCTGGTCCCTCTGCATCTGTCAAATGATTCCTATCGTTGGCCATGAGTCTGTACTGTAATATATGTGGAGGAGCGATCAGAGCAGAAGCATGAACATAGAGAATGTCGAGTGGATAGAAGGATCTGGAGCGCGAAATGGTATTAGTTAAAGTGAAAATCGGCAGGTTCTGATTCGTGGTTGGAAAACGTAATCTCGTACAGGACCGAGGCCGACGGGACGGCTGGTCCTCGGTTTGCGAGCCTCGGATAGTTGATTTGGGTGTGACCTTGAGTGTGGACCCAGTCCCCGAATTGCAATTGCGAAACAGACACATTTCGTTAAAAAACACCCGGTAGCATCGTGAATGGAAACCCTTGAAGACTGTTCCCCTCGTTGCGTTTAGGCGCTTATGATTGGTTAACGAGTTTCTAAGCTTTGTTTCGTCAGACCTGACACTGACGAAGAGCAGGTAAGATCAAATTGGTTAGGGACGGTCCTATACGTTGGGGTGCGATTTCGTACGTGTCAGAGCGGTATTACCCATTTCTTTACGTTTGTGTGGGGTTCGGAGGGAGGTCATGCAGGCAAACACAGATCAGCTGCAGCGATAGCGACAACTTCCATTCCCCAGCTGTTCCCTCACACGAGCCACGACCGCGGAATCCTGGATTACATAGCTCACCCGCACTGCCTGTGAAAGCACACGCGAACTCCGCACGCATGGTCGCTTACGCGTGTACCATTTCATTCCGCCATAACGTGTATTTTCCAGGGTATAATTACCGCGGATTTCAGGAGCGATCGAAGTTGCGGAACAAACACACGACAACTTTCAGAAATCGGACACGACCCGTGCCCTTTTTTAGAATTCTAAAGAGTTGGACACGACCTGTACGGTATTCGCTCTTTTTTTCCGCATCGTGCCGAACGAATCACGACGGTTTACTTCTTTCGTGCATCGCAACATCACCGCAAGCGATAACTTTGGACGAAGGTTTACCACCTGACTGTGGCGTCCGTTGGGATGGATGGCTAGGATTGCAAGTTTGTTCGGGGCGCGTAAGCACCGCCGTTAGAGAAATCAGCGAAAGCTTTCATTGAAGACGTTCCTTCCCGTCAATCCCCGAAAACCCCTGTATGCTTGGTATGATGATCGGCAAGCACCAGAGGAAAGGTGAGTAAGCACGGGGAAACTTTTTGAGGAACCTAATAAATGGTCGAAGCTATGGTTCTGTCCCGTCGAATCTCAAATGACCGCATGCCAGGAATATTGATCCGCGAGCACGAAGGGAAAGATGAGTTAGCGCTGCGAAACTGCTGGGTGAGCGTTGGGTGTCAAAGGTACGATGGGGGATGAGAGCAGGGGGAAATCACTTTTGAGAATTCTCAAAAGTGACTCCAACTCGCGTGTCAGAGGAGTGAGGGCTGGGGGGTGGTCATGGATGAGCTCCTGGGGAAAGATGAGTGAGTGCGTGGGAATGAAGGGTGAGCAATAGGATAATAATGAGTGGCTTAGAGCAGGAATGATGAGGGATGAGGGCAGGGGGCGCATCCTGGGTGGGCTGCTTGGGGAGAGATGGGTGTATGCGGGGGGGCTGTTGGGTGAGCGCTGAGCCACTGGAGGAATCATGGGTGATGGGGTAACGCGCTTGTCAAAGGAATCTTGAGGGATTAGGGCAGGGGTGAATCATGGGACTGCTGCTGGGTGAGCGCTGGGGAAATAACGCCCGTGTCAAATAAATGCTGAGGGATGAGATGAGGGCATGGGGGATTAATGGATGAGCTCCTTGGGGATAGAAGGGTGTGCGCGGGAGGATGGTTGGTTGAGCGCAGTGAGGATTATTGGTGATGGGTAACGCACGTGTCAGAGGAATGATGAAGGGTGAGGGCAGGGGGGAATCGTGGGTGGGGTGCTTGAAGAAAGATGGTGTGCATTAGGGGACTGTTGGGTGAGCACTGGGGGACTGCTGGGTGAGTGGTGGGGGAATAATGATGGGTTAGTGCAGGAAAGATGAGGGATGAGAGCAAGGGGGAATCATGGGTGAGCTCCTGGGGGGAAGATGAGTGAGCGCGGGGGAAATGTTGGGTGAGCACAGGGGGAATCATGGGTGATGATGGGTAACGCGCGTGTCAAGAGAATGATGAGGGATGAGCGCGGAGGGAGAGGATTATGGGCGACTCCTGAGTCGCCTCAAAAGAGAGTGCGGGGATCTCTTGGGTGAGCGCTGGGAGAGTAATGCATGGGTCAAAGGAATGATGAGTGATGGGCAAGGGGGAATTATGGGTGAGATCCTCGGGGAAAGAGGGGTGAGCGTGGGGGGAAAGAGGGGGTGAGCATGGGGGGAAAGAGGGGGTGAGCGTGGGGGGAAAGAGGGGTGAGCGTGGGGGGAAAGAGGGGTGAGCTTGAGGGGAAAGAGGGGTGAGCGTGAGGAGAAAGAGGGGTGAGCATTAGGGGAAAGAGGGGTGAGCGTGAGGGGAAAGAGGGGTGAGCGTGAGGGGAAAGAGGGGTGAGCGTGAGGGGAAAGAGGGGTGAGCGTGAGGGGAAAGAGGGGTGAGCGTGAGGGGAAAGAGGGGTGAGCGTGAGGGGAAAGAGGGGTGAGCGTGAGGGGAAAGAGGGGTGAGCGTGGGGGGAAAGAGGGGTGAGTGTGGGGGGATTGTTGGGTGTGCGCTGGGAGAATCATGGATGCTGGGTAATGCGCGTGTCAAAGGAATGATGAGGGATGAGCGCAAGGGGGAATCATTGGTGAGCTCCTTGGGGAAAGATGGGTGTGTGCTTGGTGAAAGGGGGTGAGCTCCTTGGGGAAAGATGGGTGTGTGCTTGGTGAAAGGGGGTGAGCTCCTTGGGGAAAGATGGATGTGCTTAGGGGGAATGATGGGTTTAAGGAAAGGGGGAATGGTGAGTGGGGGCATAGGGAAAGACAGGGGAATGATGGGTGATTAGGGGGAAAGACAGGTGATTGTAGGGGGAAAGACATGTGAGCGTTGGGGGAATGATGGGTAAGGACAAGTGGAATGAAGGGTGAGCGGAGGGGAAATGCGGAGGGGGCAGGGGGGATGGGGGTGATCGGAAGGGGAATGAGAGGTAATGGCAGGCGGAATGAGGGGAGAGCGGAGAGGAAATGAGGGTAGTGGCAGCCGGAATGAGGGGTGAACGGAGGGGGGAATAGGGGAAAGGGCAGGTTGCTGATACAGACATATTCAGTATGATGAGGCACCACCTAGTCTAAGAGAGTCAACGCAGCATTTGCAAAAAACAGGGATTGGGGTCACTTCAAGTGGGGGGAACATGAGAAGCTGAGGGGGTTAGGTGGTAGGCACCACATTGCCATGTGAGATTTATCCTCACACAGGAATTCCCTGAAATTGGAATTCTCACACGGGAAGGGATTGATGCAGCACGTTGAGGCATGTAGATGACAGCCATACATCATGTACAAAGCCGACAATAGGTGGGAGGAGAAGGTCAGGAAAGTAAACAACACAGCCCCAGGCTGGAAGCAAGCCCAAAATCGACATGCGCATCCGGGGAATCGAACCCCGGTCAGTACCGTGGGAGGGTACTATGATACCACTACACTAGATGCGCATGTGAACTAAACAATTCCACACACTTAAATGTATATCTTAGCAGAAGGGTTGACAATGATTCAGACCTTACATGGTGGGAGGCTGAAGACCAGAAACGCGTTTGTCCCCCGAAGCCAAACGAGTTGCTCACGACCTAAGAACATAAACGGTAACAACATTTGACAATGACAGCTCTCATGGGCTTTGGTGGTGCTGCCACCGCTTGTGGCGGTGCTGCTGCTTTCTCTGCCACTGGTGCTGAGCAGAGTAGAAGCGAGTGCTTTGGCAAGACAAGGGAAGAATTCGTCCCTCCAAAGCCAAAGGAGTTACTCATGACAGTTCTCATGGGCTTTGATGCCGCTGCTGGTGGTTCTGATGCTGATGCCTTCAATGTTGCTGCTGCTGCTTTTAATGATGTTGCTGATGCCGCTGCTGATGGTGCTGCACGCGGATTGGGTACCTAAGGGGCTAACCAAGAGGAGGAAGGCCTAAGACCAGGGAAGCGTTTGTCCCGCCGAAGCCGAACGAGATGCTCATGACAGTCCTCATGGGCTTTGGTGCTGCTGTCACTGCTGCTGATGCTGATGCTTCTGCTGCTGCCACTGCATTTGTGATACGAAGGACGAAACTCTAAGAAGGTGGTGGGAGGCCGAAGACCAGGGAAGCGTTTGTCCCTCCGAAGCCGAACGAGATGCTCATGACAGCTCTCATGGGCTTTGATGCCGCTACTGTTTCTGCTGATGCTGCTGCCGATAGAGTGAGTCCAAAACACTAAGCAACGGGTGGAAGCCCAAAGACCAGTGAGGCATTTGTCCCTCCGAAGCCCAACGAGATGCTCATAACAGCTCTCATGGGCTTTGATGCCGCTACTGTTTCTGCTGATGCTGCTGCCGATAGAGTGAGTCCAAAACACTAAGCAACGGGTGGAAGCCCAAAGACCAGTGAGGCATTTGTCCCTCCGAAGCCGAACGAGATGCTCATAACAGCTCTCATGGGCTTTGATGCCGCTACTGTTTCTGCTGATGCTGCTGCCGATAGAGTGAGTCCAAAACACTAAGCAACGGGTGGAAGCCCAAAGACCAGTGAGGCATTTGTCCCTCCGAAGCCAAACGAGTTGCTCATAACAGCCCTCATGGGCTTTGATGCTGCTGCTGCCGTCGGCAGGAAGCTTCCTTGGAAGACAGGATCTGGGTTGACGAGGTTGACATTAGGCGGCACGACGCCCTGTAATGGTTGAGAGAGAGAAGGGAGGGAAGGAATTGGGAAAGTGGGGAGGAGGTTAGCTTCCTTGGAAGACAGGGTCCGGGTTGAAGAGGTTGACATTGGGCGGCACGACGCCCTGAAAAAGTGGGAAGGGGGAAAGCCGAAGGGGGATTAGAGGAGCGTGATTGGAAGGAAGGGAGAAATGGAAGGGTCCGGTTTGATGAGGTTGACATTGGGCGGCACGACGCCCTGTAATGGTTGAGAGAGAGAAGGGAGGGAAGGAATTGGGAAAGTGGGGAAGAAAGGGGAGCGCGGAAAGTTGACACTTGAGCTGACTGAAAGGTCAAAGAGGCTAAAGTTAAAAGGCATCATGCCCTTAAGAGTGGGAGGTGGCAGGTAGGTAGGAGAGGGATAGGAAGTGTGCATGTGAGCAACATGCACAGTACAATGCACCCACATGGTTCATGTAGAGTGCCAGACTCACATGGTGTAGAGCAGCTGCCTCTACCTCCCCTGCAGCCCTGATGCCATGACATTCTATCAAACACTGTGAAGTTCACGTGAGCATCATGCACTGTACAGCGTTACACCCAGATGGTGCACAGCTATGAGAGCAACAGAGTCATAACGGCAACAGCGCCATGACAGCAACAGTGCCATGACAGCAACAGCGCCATGACAGCAACAGCTGCCTCCACTGCCAATGCAGCTTTCATACTGCGTGAGCATGTGAACATCATATGCAGTTCAGGTGCCACACTCACATGGTTCAAGCACAGTGCCACTCACATGGTGCAGAGCCATGACAGCAACAGCTGCCTCCACTGCCAATGCAGCTTTCATACTGCGTGAGCATGTGAACATCATATGCAGTTCAGGTGCCACACTCACATGGTTCAAGCACAGTGCCACTCACATGGTTCAAGCACAGTGCCACTCACATGGTGCAGAGCCATCACAGCAACAGCTGCCTCCACTGCCCCTGCAGCTCCCAACAGATGACCCATCGCTCCCTGCACATGCACATGCACATGCACACGCACACGCACATGCACATGCACATGCACACGCACACGCAGATGAACATGAAGATGCAGGGTGTTTTTGGAAATTCTCATAAACATCTACTGCAACAGCAGCTTCTCCCCTGCAGCCCCCAACAGATGACCTATCGCTCCCTGCCCAAATACAGATCCACACATGCACGTTCACATGCCGCATGCACATGCACATGCACATGCAGATGCACATGCACATGCACACGCACATGTAGGCAAACATTTAGATCCACACATACACATGCACACATGCATACATGCACACATGCACATCCACATGCAAACATGCACACATATAGATATGCACATGCAAACATGCATATGCACATGCATACAAACACACGCACACATGCACACGCACACACACAAAGACACACATGCACATGCACGCATGCATGGCATGCACATGCAAATGCACAAGCACATGCACATGCACAAGCACATGCACATGCACATGCACATGCACAAGCACATGCACATGCACATGCACATGCACATCCACATGCACATGCACATGCACAAGCACATGCACATGCACATGCACATGCACATGCACATCCACATGCACACAGCGCCAGCTTAAAGTATAAGTAAGGATGCGTGTGTACCTTGCTGGAGGAGAAAGAAAGGTCTCCTGAGAGCACATGCTGGTCAAATACAGCCTTTAGCGCCAGTGCTTCTATCTCATCGCCTGCAAGTAAACAATGCAACACACGTGCGAGCATATGTGAGGCGCATATGGGTTGAAAGCAAGGGCTCCTGACAGCACGTGCTGGTCGAAGACAGCCTTTAGCGCCAGTGCTTCTATCTCATCGCCTGTAAATGACAAGTGTGTGGGACGCAAATTGGGATATGTGTGTGAGAGTTGAAGGCAGGTCTCCCTTGCAGAGAGCACGTGCTGGTCAAACACAGCCTTGAGGGCCAGAGCTTCTATCTCGTCGCCTGCAAGTAAGGTAAACAATGCAACAGACATGCGAGAGTATGTGAGGCGCACGAGGGTTAAAAGAGAGGTCTCCTGAGAGCAAGTGCTGGTCGAAGACAGCCTTGAGGGCCAGAGCTTCTATCTCATCGCCTGCAAGAAAACAATGTGAGGAGCGTATTGTGAGGCACATCTGAGTTGCATTGCAAGCACTCAGTGATTTTCACTACTCAGAGTAGTTAGGTCGGTCGAACCGAGGTTGCAGCTTTCTATCTGTTTCCTTCGTTTGAGAGGCACATCTGCGTTGCAAGCAGGCCTCTCTTGCAGCTAGTGCGTGCTGGTGGAAGGAACACTGCTGCTTGAGCGGCTTTTGAGGCACCTTAGAAGTTGAAACACTGCATTGAGAGCGCCAGCAGCGCTTCTTCTACCTCGTCGCCTGCAGGGCGACACGAGGGTCAGTCATTGTGAAGCGCATGGTATGAGGTGCATGCGAGGTGATGGTAGGCACCAGTTGCATGAGCCTGTTGACTTTTGAGTCGACTCAAAAGTCAACTTGAGGTGCATGCGAGGTGACGGTAGGCACCAGTTGCATGAGCCTGTTGACTTTTGAGTCGACTCAAAAGTCAACTTGAGGTGCATGCGAGGTGACGGTAGGCACCAGTTGCATGAGCCTGTGCTGGGCAAACACTGCATTGAGAGCGACAGCACAGCAGTTCTTCTTCCTTCCACCTCGTCGCCTGCAGGGTGCCACGAGGGAGCTCAAAGTTGTGAGCTCACTCAAGGAGCATACGAAGCACATATTGTGAGCTGCCTCGTCGTCTGCAGGGCGACACGAGGGTTATTGTGAGGCAACGGTGAGAGCCGTCTGGTGCGTCACTCAAGGAGCATACGAAGCACATATTGTGAGCTGCCTGTGAGTGCCGTCTTGAGTGAGTGAGCACTCAAGACACATTGGGGTCACAATGTCATAGACTGGAGCGAGGATGGGGAGGATGGGGAGGATGGGGAGGAGAGGATGGGCCGGAGGTAAAACATTAATGGAAGGGATTTGATGCTCACTGATGGAGCGGAGGTGGCATAGGGTTGGCCTTTGAGTTGAGTACTAAAAAATAAAAGGAATGAAAGGGAGGAATTAAAAGGCTAAGAGAAGGGGCTTACTCACCAAGGGGAGTGGAGGTGGCATGGGCATTGAGGTACCCTATATCGGATGGTTGCAGACCAGCCTGCGATAACCAGGGGTGGAGAGAGGTGGAGATTGGTGGAGAGGGAGGAGAGGGTAAAGAGGGGTGCAAAAGGGGTGGAGAGGGGTGAAAAGGAGGGGAGAGGGTGGAGAGGGGTGCAAAAGGGTGGAGAGGTTAGGAGGTATGCAGAGAGACAATGTGAGTGTTGAAGACCATAGAGTGGTAATAAAGGTCAGAGAGAGGGATGTGAAGAGAGAGGGATGTGAGAGGGAGGGACAAAGGAAGAAGAACTCTACCAATGAAGGACCATTTGAAGAATCTATCTTTGACGGTACAGTGGACGACCAACTAACATGGGACCAGCTCCTCCTTAAGAGGAGTGCCAATGAGGTTAAATTGATAACAACAGCAACCTCTCCCTGGCTGAGCCGATAATATTTTTTTCAGCGTTTCAGCGCCGAGCCGATGAGCTGCGCCGGCTCATCTACGGAAGAAGCCTTCCCCTGGCTACGATGCAGACGTACCTACTGGAGCGATCGAGAGTGGTGCATATCTCTGAGCTTGAGTGCAACTACCAAACTGACTTGTTGGTCCAGCAAACCTGTGGACCAACTGGTTTGATGGTAGTTGCGCTCAAGCTCAGAGATATGCACCACTCTCGATCGTTCCAGCAGGTACGTCTGCATCATTGATGGTCTTCAGAGATTCCCATCATCACATCATACCTGCTTTAGACCACCAGGTCAAATCGTGCCTCCTCGAGAGCAGCACGCATGCAGAGCGCTGCCCCCGTGGCGAGGGGGGCGGCTGTGTGATGTGGAAAGCATCTGCTGAACTGCTATGGGTTGGTTTCAGTGTGATGGTTTTGGTTGTCCCTCCATTATACTGGCTCAAATCATTCCTCATTGAGGGCAGCGCGCATGCACAGCACAGCGCCGGTGGCGAGAGGGGATGGCTGTGTGATGTGGAAGTCAGTTCTAGGGTAACTGGCAGGTGGAAACAGCACGTGCCTCTGATGGTGCTGCTGGTGCTTGCACTACGCACCTCCTTGAGAGCAGCTCGCATGCACAGAACTGCACCAGTGGCCAGGGGAGACGGCTGTGTGATGTGAAAGGCGTCTGCTGAACTGCCGGCTCCTCGAACCTCTGCGTACACCTTTGCACCGCGCTGCACCGCATGGTCTAGGTCCTGAGGGAAGGGGGGTAAGGGAGAGAGAGAGTAAAGGGATGGAGGGGCGGAGGATATGGGCTTGACACCGTGTCACCAACTTGGAGATGCTCTCATCCTTAGAGACTTTTGAGTCGACTCAAAAGTCACTTAGAGAGTAAAGGGATGGAGGGGCGGAGGATGTGGGCTTGACACCGTGTCACCCACTTGGAGAGATGCTCTCGTTCCACTCTCAATCGTTCAACACCCTGGTGGGTGACACGGTGTCAACCCATCTTGTAAAGGCCCTGATTTTCTTACATCCTCCCATACTGACATGCTGACATGCTGACATTCTGAATATTTCACATCCTCACACACTGACGTCCTGAAATCCTGACATGCTGACATGCTGACATGCCAACATCCTGCTTATGCTTGCACCCCTTACCCCCTCCAATCCTCATGCTCCCTCTGAGTACCCACCCACCTCAAGCACCAACACGCCTGCTCCCTCTGCCATTCTGCAGAGAGCAAGGGGAGGGTGCAGTGCAGCAGGAGGGAGGGGAGAAGGTGGCTAAGACGACTAAGTTACAAAGTGCAGGGGGGCAGCAAGCAGGCGGGGGGGGGGGGGGGGGGGGGGGAGAGGGGGGGGGGGGGGCAGAAGGAGGAGGCACGTGTTGGGGAGAGATGCAGGCTCGGAAACGAAGGAAGAAAGCTTCGAGAGGCGTGAATGGGATGAGGGTGTGCGAAAAGAAAGGGAATTAGCCATTAAGTGGCAATACGAGAAGGGGGATGGGGAAGGGCAAGGCACGCACGCACACGAATCCTTCACTGGACTCGTCAAATGGCCGGGAGGCAAGGTGGGGCGGAAGATGGGGGGGGGTTGGGAAGTGGTGCACATAGTAATGCAAGAGGAGCAATGGAAGGAGAAACAGGGAAGAGGAGCAACGGGGAATCAACGGAGGCAAGGCACCCACACGAAGCGATCTCTTGACTTGTCAAATGGCCAAGGCGACTTTTAGGTCAACTCAGAAATGCAGGAAGGAGGATGGTAAAGAGGGGTTTGGAAGAGGCCACGCACACGAATCCATCTCTTGACTTGTCAAACGGCCGAGAGGCAAGGTGAGGCGTGTCGTTGAATCGCGTGCTGAGAGCTCGCATGCTGAGGGGAGGGAAGAGAGAGTGAGGCAGAGGGGAGAGAGAAAGAAGATGAGTGGCGTGGCGCAGAGGTAGCAAGGCACTTGTGTTGTGCACCTTCGAGCTGAGGCGTGTCGTTGAAGCACGTGCTGAGAGCTCGCATGCTGACTGGTGGCGGGAGGGGGGATAGGTGGGGTGAGTAGGTGGGGGAGAGGGGGGAAACATGGGTGGGTTCACAGTGAATAACAAGGTACGTGTGTACCCAAGCTGAGGCGTGTCGTTGAAGCGCGTGCTGAGAGCTCGCATGCTGGCTGGTGGGGGAGGGGAAGGGGGGGAAGTGTGACACAGAGATAGGCAGCAGCAGCAGCAGAGATAGACATGCGTGTGTACGTTGCAGAAGCAGCAGCAGGTGAGAGGTGGATGGGGGGCAGCAGCGCTTTGCAGGTACAGGGGGTCAATGCACACTTGTGTGCCGCCAGCGACAATGACCGTCCCACCCCACCTCCCACCCACCACCCATCACGCACCACCCGCCTCCCATCACCCACCACCCAACACTCCTCCTACCCACCGTGAGAAGCCAGCGAGGGAGAGGGCGTCGATGCAGGCCTCTGTGCCACCCGCCACGATGACGTCAGCAGCTGTCCCCCCCATGCCCACCATACATCCCGCAAGGCACATTACCCACTGGGAGAAGCCAGCGAGGGAAAGCGCATCAATGCACGCCTCTGTGCCGCCCGCCACGATGGCCGTCCCACCTCCCACCATCCACCCATGGCCCACCCCCCAACACTCCTCCTACCCACCGCGAAAAGCCAGCGAGGGAGAGGGCATCGATGCAGGCCTCTGTGCCACCCGCCACGATGACGTCAGCAGCCGTCCCCCCCATGCCCACCATACATCCCGCAAGGCACATTACCCACCGGGAGAAGCCAGCGAGGAAGAGGGCGTCGGTGCACGCCTCTGTGCCACCCACCAAGACCATCACCCATCCCCCCCATGCCTCTCATCGCCCCCATTCCCCACCACTCACTGCCCCCGCCACCCACCGTGAGAAGCCAGCGAGGGAAAGCGCGTCGACGCACGCCTCTGTGCCGCCCGCCACGATGACGTCAGCAGCCCCACAGCGGACCAATCGGAAGGCGTCTGCGATGGCATGCGCTGACGAGGCACATGCTGTCACTGAGGCATGATTGGGGCCCTGGTGGGATATGGAAGAGGGGGGGAAGGGAAAGAAGCACACAGGGGAAAATGGAGAAGAGGAAGGAGGTAGCATGGGCTGACGAGGCGCATGCGAACACTGAGGCATGATTGGGACCCTGATGGGAGGATGACAGAAAGGGAGGGAGGAGAGCAAAGAGAAAGGGGAAGAGGGCAGCAGAGGATGGCATGGGCTGATGATTCGCACGATGTCACTGAGGCGAGGTTGGAAAGTGATAAAAGAGATGTTTTGAGACGTCTCAAAACATCTCTTTTGTGACGTCGCACGATGTCACTGAGGCGAGGTTGGAAAGGGAAAGGGAGTGAAGAACAAGGGGGAAAGAGGACGATGGCATGGGCTGGGCTGATGAGGCGCACGCTGGCACTGAGGCTTGATTGGGGGGCCCTGATGAGAGAATAACGAGGGGAAATAATAAGAACAAGAGGGAGCAAGTGAGAAGGGGAGGAAGATGGCACGCGCTGATGACGCACATGTGGTTACTAAGGAACGGTTGGGGCCCTGATGACATGCCTCAGTAACCACATGTCATGACAGATCGAAGATGAAGGAAGGAAAGGGGAAAGGTAAGAGGGCAGAGGGACGAGTGAAGAGGGAAGAGGGAAGGGGAGAATAATAAGGAAGAAGAGGGAACGTGGCATGGGCAGATGAGGCACATGGGTGATAAGTCGAGTTTTTTGTCGACTCAAAACTCGACTTATCACACAAGAAGGGGGAACGTGGCATGGGCAGATGAGGCACATGGATTCATTGCGGCATTTGAGGCGCCTCAAAAGGTTGGGGCCCTGATGGGAGAGTCGAAATGCTTACAGGTAGTCAATCTCGCACCACATACAATCGCCCCACCTTGAGTCATGACTCGAAACATGAGTCAGTATGCACCACATACAATCGCCCCACCTTGAGGAGGTGGCGGATGCTGATGTGCCCTGCCGCCGCCATGCTGATGAGAGTGCTACGAATCTCCAGCTCATCGCCTACAATCACACACACCACACCCATCAGTACAGTCACACCCTTTACAGACACTTCACCCACCTTCAGGCGATGCCGGATGCTGATATGCCGTGCAGCCATGTTGATGAGAATCCATATGCATTCTACAATCGTTCACAATGCTTAGATGCACACCACATGGGAAACCATCAGGACACACACACACACACATCGCGTACAGACAGTCACATCATATACAATCACGTCACATCACCTTGAGGCGGTGGCGGATGCTGATGTGCCGTGCTGCCATGCTGATGAGATGAGAATGCTATTCTCGTCCAACCCTCACCTCCTACAATCACTCACACCACCCACCCATCACAAAAGTCACACCCTTACGAATCACTCCACCCACCTTGAGGCGGTGGCGAATGCTGATGTGCCGTGCTGCCATGCTGATGAGATGAGAATGCTATTCTCGTCCAACCCTCACCTCCTACAATCACTCACACCACCCACCCATCACAAATAGGGATGGGCATTTGGCCCGGACGGGTCGGGTTACCCGACCCAACCCGCCTAAAATGGCGGGTCGGGTCAGGAATGCTGAGAATGTCGACCCGTCCGGGTCGGGTCGGGTTTACCCGGGCGGGTCGGGTCGACCCGTGACCCGTCAATGTGACTTATAGACGGGTATCAGCGACCCGCCGGGTCGGGTTGACCCGTCCCGTCCGGGTCGCATACCCAGTCAAATGACAGGGTTACCCGACCCGTTCTCTGCTTAGGGTACAATTTGGAGAGGGGGAGAACATCAGTTGGTTTTGATGTTTTGTTTCCCTCGACATTCAGATCTAGTCTCTAATCAAGTTAGTAAATCTCCACTGCACCTACCAAAACTCTTACAGTCTTCACTTCAATGTTAGCACTATTTTAATATTTATATTCATTATAGGCATAGGCGCTCCTGCCATTACGCAGTGTCGCACGACCAGGGGCGCAGCAGCGCACTCGCGGCCACGCATTGGCGGGATCGTGTCCCCGCAATAGCGCGATCTCGGCCCCGCATATGCGCGATCGCGGCACCACATTAGGGCAGCGCGATCGCGGCCACGCATTGGCGGGATCGCATCCCCGCAATAGCGCGATAGCGGCCTTGCAGTAGCGCGAACGCCACCAGCCAGAATCGCGATCCCCACCTCCAGCATCGCGAACGCCACCTGGAGCAGCGCCAAGGCGCCACCATACCCTGCTGCTATGTAGCATATTTTGATCCGACCCGACCCGTGGTGTAACCGACCCGGTAACGGGTCACAAATACCCGTTCCAACGGGGCGGGTCGGGTCACCAAAACAGAGTCAAACCCGACCCGCTAACCCGACCCGACCCGACCCGTTAAGCTAACGGGTCGCCCTAAACGGGACGGGTCGGGCCGGGTCGGGCCAGATGCCCATGCCTAATCACAAAAGTCACACCCTTACGAATCACTCCACCCACCTTGAGGCGGTGGCGAATGCTGATGTGCCCTGCGGCCATGTTGATGAGAATCCGCGGCACAAAGTGCGGCGAGATGCGCCTGGGCTTCTGCTCAGGGAGGAGAGGGGGTGGGGGAGGAAGGGGGTTACACAGAGTCATTACAAGGTTTGAAGGATCACATCAGGCAGAGGGTGGAACGGGCGAGAAGAACGGGTGATGAGAACCCGCGGTGACTTTTGAGTCGACTCAAAAGTCATGGTGATGAGAACTGGCGTCCCAAAGGGCGGCGAAATGCGCCTCAGCTGGGCTTCTGCTCAAGGAGGCGGGGGGGAAGGGCACACAGAGAATGCGCGGGCCAAAGGGCGGCGAAATGCGCCTCAGCTGGGCTTCTGCTCAAGGAGGCGGGGGGGAAGGGCACACAGAGAATGCGCGGGCCAAAGGGCGGCAAAATGCGCCTCAGCTGGGCTTCTGCTCAAGGAGGCGGGGGGGAAGGGCACACAGAGAATGCGCGGGCCAAAGGGCGGCAAAATGCGCCTCAGCTGGGCTTCTGCTCAAGGAGGCGGGAGGGAAGGGCACACAGAGAATGCGTGGGCCAAAGGGCGGCAAAATGCGCCTCAGCTGGGCTTCTGCTCAAGGAGGGGGGGGGGAAGGGCACACAGAGAATGCGTGGGCCAAAGGGCGGCGAAATGCGCCTCAGCTGGGCTTCTGCTCAGCGAGGGAGGGAAGGGCGGGGGCAGGCAGAGGATGAAGTGAGAAGCACAGCAGCCATGGTGATGAGAATGCGCGGGTTAAAATGTGGCGAAATGCGCCTGGGCTGGGCTTTAGTTCAGGGAGGCGGGGGTGAAGGGCATAAAGCAAATGCGTCTGCTTTTGAGTCGACTCAAAGGGAGGCGGGGGTGAAGGGCACAAAGCAAATGCGCGGCACAAAGTGAGGCGAGATGCGCCTGGGCTCCTGCTCAGGAAGGAGTGGGGAACGGGGGAAAAGGGGGGATACCCAATCATTTCAAGAAGCATGGCAGGGCAGCCATATTGAGGGAAAAAATGCTTTTGATAACTCTCAGTAGCAGCCATGATGATGAGGCGAATGCGCGAATGTTAGCTGGGGTCATTTCATAAAAAATGGCAGCCTTGATTATGAGAATGCACGGCCCAAAGAGCGGCGAGATGCGCCTGGGCTAGGCTCCTGCTCGGGAGGGAGGAAAGGGGAACCAACTTAAGGTTTTCATATGCGCCTGTGATTCTGCTCCGGAAGGAGTTGGGATGAGAGGGGGGGGGGAGGGGGGGAAGGTTACAGGAATCACGACAGCCATGCTGATGAGAATGCTTGGCACAGAGTGAGGGGCCGGGGGGAAACGAGCTGGTTTTTGAGAATTCTCAAAAACCTGCTTGGCACAGAGTGAGGGGCCGGGGGGAAACGAAGCTCAGTTGGAAAAGGTGGTCGGGGTGGGGGAGGACGAGTTTTGGTTTATGTATGGCCTTTTTTTTTTTTTTTTTTTCTGGAAAGGGTGTGACCATGAGGGGAGGTATGAGAGTGAGAGAGCAAGTGAAGGGACGAGGGGAGGGAGCAGTGCACGCACCTGCTCCCCTGCTCCCCCCAAAGCACTCACCTGCTCAAAAAGAAGGTGGCCTGCTGCTGCCACTTCGCTGATGCTCCCGATGCCTCCTCTCTCCCCCTACACCCCCCAACTGCCCCATTAAACCCCGACCTCTTTCTCCATTGCACGAACCCCGCCCCCCCCTCCATTGCACTCACCTGCTCAAAAAGAAGGTGGCCTGCTGCTGCCACCTCGCTGATGCTCCCGATGCCTCCCCCCACACACACTCCCTGGGTTAGATAGGGACGAAAACAAAGGAACAGTGATAATGGGGGTGAGGACAGGTGGGGGATGAAGGAGAGGTGCATATCCGTTTAATAAACGCTGCCTGCCTCTGCCACCTGTTGGAGTAGGACGAGTCACCTGCTGGATCCAGGTCGAAACTTTACACGTATATCCGTTTGATAAACGCTGCCTGCCTCTGCCTCTGCCGTTTATTCATAAACGCTGCCTGCCTCTGCCTCTGCCGTTTATTAATAAACGCTGCCTGCCTCTGCCTCTGCCGTTTATTAATAAGCGCTGCCTGCCTCTGCCTCTGCCGTTTATTAATAAACGCTGCCTGCCTCTGCCTCTGCCGTTTATTAATAAACGCTGCCTGCCTCTGCCTCTGCCGTTTATTAATAAACGCTGCCTGCCTCTGCCACCTCACTGATGCTGCCGATGCCTCCTCCCTGGGTGGGGTAGGATGAGGGAAACAGGGGGAATGACAGAAAGGGGCAGAACGAAGGAAACGAGCATATGCCTTCACCAATCCCTGCCTGCTGCCACTCCACTGATGCTGCCAATGCCTCTTCCCACGCACACTCCCTGGGTGGGTGGGACAGGAGTGCATGGGGATACGGTGATGGAAAGGCGGAGGATAAAGGAGGCAGGCATACGCCTTCACCAGTTCCTGCCTGCCTGCTGCTGCCACCACGCTGATACTCCCAATGCACCCCCCCCATACACACTCCCTGGGTGAGACAGGGTGGTAGAATGAAGGGAACGAGCATATGCCTTCACCAGTTCCTGCCTGCCTGCTGCTGCCACCACGCTGATACTCCCAATGCACCCCCCCCATACACACTCCCTGGGTGAGACAGGGTGGTAGAATGAAGGGAACGAGCATATGCCTTCACCAGTTCCTGCCTGCCTGCTGCTGCCACCCCACTGATGCTGCCAATGCCTCCTCCCACGCACACTCCCTGGGTGGGTGGGACAGGAGTGCATGGGGATACGGTGATGGAAAGGCGGAGGATAAAGGAGGCAGGCATACGCCTTCACCAGTTCCTGCCTGCCTGCTGCTGCCACCACGCTGATACTCCCAATGCACCCCCCCCATACACACTCCCTGGGTGAGACAGGGTGGTAGAATGAAGGGAACGAGCATATGCCTTCACCAGTTCCTGCCTGCCTGCTGCTGCCACCCCACTGATGCTGCCAATGCCTCCTCCCACGCACACTCCCTGGGTGGGTGGGACAGGAGTGCATGGGGATACGGTGATGGAAAGGCGGAGGATAAAGGAGGCAGGCATACGCCTTCACCAGTTCCTGCCTGCCTGCTGCTGCCACCACGCTGATACTCCCAATGCACCCCCCCCATACACACTCCCTGGGTGAGACAGGGTGGTAGAATGAAGGGAACGAGCATATGCCTTCACCAGTACCTGCCTGCCTGCTGCTGCCACCCCACTGATGCTGCCAATGCCTCCTCCCACGCACACAGACTCCCTGGTTGAGACAGGGACGAGAATAAGGGCACAGGGAGAATGAGGGCAGGCGGGGGAGAAAAGAGAGGGGCATATCCTGCCTGTCTGCTGCCATAAACACCTCCACTGATGCTGCCGATGCCTCCCCCCACCACACACACTCCCTGGTTGAGACAGGGACGAGAATAAGGGCACAGGGAGAATGAGGGCAGGCCTGTCATGTCATCCACCGTGCATTCATCATGGCTTCATCAGCTGCTCTTATTGCCCACCCTCAACCCGTCCACATGTCCCTACGCCGCCCGACTGTGCCCTTCTATCCCATCAATCTCACCGTTCTCACACGGTCCTCCTCCTCCTCCGGCATCCATCCACTGCGCATCCATCTCATCAGCTGCTGCTTACAGCCAGCCCCACAAGGCACACAACCCGTCCACACACCACATGTCCCTACGCCGCCCGACTGCGCCCTTCTATCCCATCAATCTCACCGTTCTCACGCGATCCTCCTCCTCCTCCGGCATCCACCGCGCATCCATCATGGCTTCATCAGCCGCTTACAATGCACACAGCTCTTCCACCCCACATGTCCCTACGCCAAACTGTGCCCCTCTAATCCATCACTCTCACCGTTCTCACGTGGTCTTCCTCCCAAAACTCCCCCTCTGGCATCCACCGCGCATCCAGCATGGCTTCATCAGCTGCTCACAGAACAGAGCACGCAGCCCTTCCACACCACACCTTTTCAGGCGCCTCAAGACTTTTGAGGCGACTTTTGAGGCGCCTCAAAAAGCAGCCCTTCCACACCACACCTTCATACCCCAGACTGTGTAACTCTGTTCCGTCAATCTCACCGTTCTCACACGATCCTCCTCCTCCTCCGGCATCCACCGCGCATCCAGCATGGCTTCACAAACCGAGGCATGCCCTCCAACCCCCCACCACCTGCAGCAGCACCAGCACCACCATCAGCACCATCAGCACCATGCACTCACCATTCTCACGTGATCCTCCTCCTCCTCCGGCATCCACCGCGCATCCATCATGGCTTCATCAGCCGCTCTTATTGCATGTCTCCCACACTCACAGCACAGCATAGCCTTTGTCCCAACGCCAGACTGCTATCGACACTCACCGTTCTCACGCGATCCTCCTCCTCCTCCGGCATCCACCGGGCATCCATCATGGCCTCATCAGCCGCTCTTATTGCATGCTGCACAAACCGAGGCATGCCCTCGAGACCTGATTTGTCTCCTTCCACCCCAGCATGAGCAGCAGAAGGACTGTCGGGACGGTCATTAGCAGCAACAGGTGGTGCAGGAGGGGCAGGAGGAACAGGAGGGACAACGCCGGCAATGCGAGAGGGGAGTTGGGAGAGCAGAGCAGCGGCGAGGCTGTCTGTCATGCCGGGAATGGCTATGTCCGATGGGGTCAGGGCGCGGATGGCGCTGTTTCCACCAATCAGGTGCTGCCACGTGGCAGCGGAGCCGACGCCAAGAGGGGTGACCATGCCAATGCCTGGCGAGGGGAGGGGGAGGGGCGGGAAGGGGGCGTGGAGAGAAGGGGAGGGGGAAGAGAGGGGAGAGAGGGGAGCGCAGAGAGAGGGGAGAGCAGACGTCTCAAAAGGAGGAGGCACAACAGAGGGCATGTGAGATGGGAGAGAAGGCAGCTGGGAGAGCAGAGCAGCGGCGAGGCTGTCTGTCATGCCAGGAACGGCTATGTCCGATGGGGTCAGGGCGCGGATGGCGCTGTCTCCGCCAATCAGGCGCTGCCACGTGGCAGTGGCGCCCATGCCGAGAGGGGTCACCATGCCAATGCCTGGGGGAAAGGGAGAGAGGGGGAGAGGGGGAAAGATGGGGAGAGAGATGGGAGGGAGGGGAGAGAGGGGTTCAGGTTAGGGCTCGGGTTGTTACTATAGACCGTCGCAGGTATCGCAATCAGCGGGAGGGGCGTACTTGTGACAGCGACCCGCAGTTGCGGCACGGGAAGGGGAGGTGGCATCTGGGGCGGGCAGGCCCGCGTCCTGGTCACCACCAAATCACCTGAAACGGCCCTGAGCTGAAAGAATCGCAGTCAGGGAGGGAGGCGCGTACCTGTGACTACAACCGTCTTTGCAGCACGGGAGGGGGAGGCAGCATCTGGGGCGGGCAGGCCCACGTGCTGGTCACCACCAAATCGCCTGAAACGGCCCTGAGCTGAAAGATTCGCAGTCAGGGAGAGAGGGGCGTACCTGTGACAACGACCCGCCTTTGCGGCACAGGAGGGGGAGGCGGCAGCTGGAGGAGGTCTTTGTGCTGCGGTAATGGCTGATGCGGGGGGCGTGCAAACGGGGACGATGGTGGTGCCGCGGTGCTCGTGGAAAACGGACGGACGGAGTGAGGGGAGGAGTGAGGTGACAGGGAATGAGGGGAAGGGGAGTGAGGGAGGGACGAGTTCAAAGATTTGGCGGCTGCTGTGGAGGGATTTGAGGAATTTGAATTCTCAAACTGGCGGGAAGAAGACGAGAGCACGCGAGACGATTCCTGTGCCAACGCGGATCCAGAAACGACTAAGAGTGCTGCTGCTGCAGAATGGACGGCTGAGATGAGCGCTGGATGGACACTGGCGACGGGATACAGGGAACGAGCGAGGGACTGGAGAACGCCGCTGTGAATGGCCATGGTGGAAAGTGTGCAAACTGGATCACTTCGGTTCAGAACTCGAGAGATGTGGGATGGCGAACGTAGAAGATAGGGAAGATTTGCCTTGATAGGTGGGATATTGAAAGAATGCGCTGTGCGCCTGAGCAAAAAAACTCCACATATGAAATACGCTGACAACGAAACGCGGATGAAATACCGTATACTACCGTCCACACGAAGATGCCGCGTCGACTGAGCTCGCCGAGACAACCAGCACTAGAATCTACCTGCTGTCGTCACGTTATCTGGACGATTTCTTTCTCATGCTTTCTCTTCCATCCTTCCACCGCACTCATACTCGTTATTGGCGCCAAAGAGTATTGTTACACTGGAACTGGGTGTACTAGGCAATACCAACACTTCCAAACTCTACTGAGTGGAGCAATGTATCAAACAAGTACCTTGCAATAGTCTCGGAAGATGGGACAAATCTGGTGCTCTCAAGTGACAACTAAACTTTCCCAAGCATACATGTCCGTCAATAACAGATGCAGCTAAGTAGAGGTGCAATACAGGAACCGAGAGCATGCTTGTTTTGCCCTTTCGGCCAGTAAATTATGTACAAGAAACAAGCTCCATCATATACTTCTGACAGTCTTAAGGTTGTGGCTACGTGTGAATTTTATCAAGGGTAAAGGAATCCACGACGTCTTGCACCTCTCGTATAATCTTCCGTGCGTCTTTTCCAGACAGTTCATGACTTCTGAAAAGGCTCTCAGCATCCGGAACATCTTGTGGTTGTTGCAAACCGCAAGCTAATAGTAGAGCAAACTCTTTGGATTCCTGAAAAGCAGTACGAAGAGCCATTAATTGGCCTGCTTGGCTTGAAATGAAGCATTGTACCAGAGAAATAGGTCTTACCGCAGCAATGTCTTTCGCGTAATCCTGCTGGTGTTGTCGGCTATCAAGTTGCGACGAGGACACGATATCCTCTACTCTGACGGTGATTCTTTCCTCAACCTGACAGATAAAGCCATTACAAAACGTTTAGAAAATGAAGACACGAAAGTTCGTAGCAGAAAGTTGGGTCGACGCTTTTGCTCATAACACCTTGTCAAGATCGTGAAGAAGGTCAAGGGGTGCACGCCGGCGAGCACGTCTAAGCCGAATCTCCTTGTCCGCAACCTGGTTTCCAACGGAAACAATGGGAGAGGGTTCATTGTGAAGAACCGTCGCTGGGGAAGTCATCCACGGGGATTGTTGACAAGGAGAGCTCTCGACGGCATTTTGAGCATCTCCTTGCGAACTGTTAATGCGTCCTCTCGGAGAAGAACAGTCAGACTCTCTGTCGACATAAATGGTAGCACTTCTACGCTCGCGAAGACCAGATGATGAAAAGGCTTGGGAATCAATGGAAGGTTGAGAAACAGCCTGATAATTTGCAAACGAGTCGATCATGTCAGACTCTCTGTCGACATTGATCGCAGCACTCCTACGCTGGCGATTACCACACGAAGAATCCATGAATGGATAAGGAACTGAGAAATCGCAAGAGAGTCGAAGTATGAAACGACTAAGCAGACAAGTGGGATTGAAAACTTTGAATAAGGGGGTCTGTCATCAGCATTTATGATCGGAAGAAATGAAAGCATGATTCTGCCTCACACAGATGTCGAAAACATCGGACTCGCTCGAAGACGCAATCTGCGAATTCCTTGCACATTCGGTTCACACAGCCAAGCTGAATTTCGGCCAGGGGCACAGCTTTCCCCAACCGAACCTCGCCAAAGCTAGGTCTGGAGAACTGCTGTTCCCAACCAGACCCAAATTTGGCGCAAAACCAGTTTCACGGGTACGGGATGCCATTCGAGTCGAAAGGTTCGGATTCAGTCGAGGCTTGAACCATGAGCCGAATTTTCCGTGATACACACTGTACCCCAAAATAGTAGAACGACAACTAAACAATACCATATAAATGGAACCAGCATTATTTTGACAATCCTTACTTCCTGATGACAACAGAAACTCTTAAAGAATAAAATTTCATTAAATAAATATAATTATCATGTAAATAAAATCATTAATATATGTTAACGTGCTTTAATATTAATGTGTATAGTAAATATTTCTGTAACTTCATTCATGAAAGTAGAATCCCAGAATTCGTTTCTGTAACAATTTTCCAGCAATGGGAACCTTTTTATGGAGGATGAACTCCCCCATTGTGCTCGACGAGAGTTCTAGTAGGTCGTACTCGATCGGAGGACCAAGCATATATTTTCCAGCACACGCGTGGTTGCTCCCGATCCGTGCGAAACTTGGCGCGACACGACTGGTTGTCGCCCCTCCCGCCAATAGCATGGCGGCGCCGTCGTCTCTGCTCCGAGCGGGCTTCAGATCCGCGCGAGACGCGCTGAACTGCGGCGAGAGATGCAGGATCCCAGTGTCTGCGTTACAGGTGCTGCGCATTAAGACACACCATAACATATTTTTGAGTTACAATGTAACAGCAATCGTGAAAGTGTCAGTGTCTGTGAAATCTCATACTCGTGGTTTCAGCTGCAACGTAAGACACACCGTGTCCAAAGTTACATCGTAGCAGTGTCCCAATCTCCAAGGTCTAACCGTGCAAGGCATTAGAAAGGATAGATTCGCATCAAAACCGCGCGACACAAACGGGCTGAGGTTTCTCGACCCGACCTCAGTTGTTCATTCAACGGTCCCACCCTTTCTTCCCGCAGGTTTCGGCTTCGGACTGCCGGTACTTTCTTCCCACGGGCGAAACAGCGGCTCGAGCCTCAGAGCGCGCCGAGTTCAGCCCTGAAAGTGGCAGTTCTGTCGGAGAACTGACGTTTCTCAGTTATTTATTCAACGGTCAACTTGCCCCTCCTCTCACCCCATTCCAGCTTCAGGCTGCTGGGCATCTCTTCCCGCAGGCGCTACAGCAGCTGCGGCCCTCCGAGCGCGCCGAGTTCAGCACTGAAAGTGGCGGCGCCGCAGGGGAAGCGGCGCTTTGAGTTGACTCATGAGTTGACATGCCCCTCGTCCCACCCCTTTTCCAGTTTCAGGCTGCTGCCGGAAATTTCTTTCCGCGGACGCTGCAACAGCTCCAACAACCCTCCGAGTGCGCCGACTTCAGCACTGAAAGTGGCAGTGCTGCTGGGGAAACGGCGTTACCAGCACATAACTCTGTTACCATGCCTCCATCTTTTGATGCTAGGGCTGCTGATGCTGCCGTTGCTGCAGCAGCTGCTTCAAGCGGTGCTGCTACAAGTGACGCTGCGTCGAGCGGTGCTGCGGCGGTGACGAGCGGTACGGATGGGTCTCGTGCGGTGCTGGCGAAGCTGCTCAACGTGCCCCGCATGGTGCTCAAGGAGGAGCTTCTGCGATCCTTCTGCAACCCTGCGCTGACGTCAGCGGACGTGTTCACTGTGCTGGATGATCGGCTGCACACTCTGCACTGGTATGGAGGATGCAGTGCGGTGTGGCGGTGCGGTGAGGTGCGGTGTGGTGCAGTGCGGTGTTGTGTGGTGTGGTGCGGTAAGGTGTGGTGTGATGTGATGGGTTGCGGTGCTGTGCGGTATAACGGATTCGACTTGGTGCTGGCGAAGCTGCTCAATGTGCCCTGCATGGTGCTCAAGGAGGAGGTTCTGCGATCTGGTGGGGCACGGTGCTGGGTGGTACAAAAGGGTCTGGAATCTCGTCTGCTGCTCAACGTGCCCCGCATGGTTCTCAAGGAGGAGGATCTGAGATCCTTCCGCAACCCTGCGCTGACATCAGCTGACGTGTTCACTGTGCTGGACGACAGGCTGCACACGCTGCACTGGTATATTGTAGTATGGTGCGATGCGGTGTGGTGCGGTACGGTGCGGTGAGGTGAGGTTCAGTGTGGTGCAATAAGGTCCGATATGGTGGAATGCGGTGCTGGGTGGTATAAGCGGGGGTGGAATCTCGTCTGCTGCTCGCTGACGTCAACCGACGTGTTCACTGTGCTGGACGACTGCCTGCACACGCTGCACTCGTATGGTGTGGTGTGGTGAGGTGTGGCATGGTGGGGTGCTGCGGTGCAGTGTGGCGTGGCATGGTGTGATGTGGTGCAGTGTGCTGTGGTATGGTATGGTGGGGTGTGATATGGTGTGGTATGGTGGGTTGTGAGATGGTGTGGATGCTGGGCTGTATAAGGGGGTGTGGAATCTCGTCCGGTGCTGCCCCGCCTGGTGCTCAAGGAGGAGGTTCTGTGGTGAAACTCGAAAGGTACTCAACCTTCCGCAATGCTGCGCTGACGTCAACCGACGTGCTCACCGTGCTGGACGACCAGCTGCACACGCTGCACTGGTATCGTGCAGTGTGTTGTGGTGTGGTGCGATGTGATGGGGTGCGGTGCGGTGGTGTGGTGTGGTCATGTGGTGTGGTTTGGTGGAATGATAGGGGTTGCAGCATGGTGTGGTATGATGCTGTGGTGTATGTGTTGTAATGATGTCATATGATGGAATATGGTGTGGTATGATATCATGGGGGACGGTGTGATGTGGTGGGGACGGTGTGATTTGATGTGTGATGTGGCGGTGTGTGATGTTTTATCATAGGTATGGTGTGATATGATTGGCTATGTTGTGATATGGTGGATTATGCTGTGATATGCTGGGTGCGGTATGGTGATGCAGTGTGGTGCGATGCGATACAATTAGCCGAGAGTGGTGAATTAATGCGGTACGGTTTGGTAAGATACAGTGCAGTATGGCGATGTGTCATTGTTTGCTTTAACTGTGTTGGATGATTGGTTGTGCGCACTGCACTGGTGGGTGGGTGGACGGTGTGGTGTTCGGTATGGTGTGGTGTAATGGGGTCCGTCCGGTATAGGGATTTGATGTGATACGATGCAATGTGATGCGATGCAATTTGATGTGATATTATGTGATGTTGTGTTGTTGTTCAGTTGGCTCCCTTGATGGCAAGCAGCATACCCGCAACTGGTAGGTGACTTGAGTGGTGTGCTATGGTGTGGTGCGGTGCTGTGCAGTACGCATGATACGCTACAG